AAAGTAACATGTACAATACTCATGGTCAGTCATAACGAATACCCAGTACAAGCAAACAGACAAACCCTCAAAGGTCTCTTTCTAAAAGTAACATGCACAATACTCATGGTCAGTCATAACGAATACCCAGTACAAGCAAACAAGCAAACCCTCAAAGGTCTCTTTCTAAAAGTAACATGTACAATACTCATGGTCAGTCATAACGAATACCCAGTACAAGCAAACAGCTGGTAACCTAAGCTTTAGAAAAAGCACTTCAAAGGTTTTAAAAGAAAGTGACATACCGAAATACAGCGGTACAACTTGGACAGACAGACAAGAGTTCGCCTAACTGTTGGATACCACATGCCTTGAAGGTCTGCAAGAGCTGCTGGTAATTCTAAAATATTATAAGGCGATAATATATCAGACATAAAAACCATGAGCAAAGATGGTAAAACAACAGGCCTGTTGCAAGGACCTTGGAAGGGGAGGTTCATTGTTCTACCAATCTTAGTTATCTCTTGAAAAATTAAAATATCGCTAAGCATTATTTTGCACTCCTACAAAGGAATAGAGGAGGAACCTTCCTTAGCGACAGGCGTGAACTATGCCCTCCCTAGTTTATCCCAGGAACTATGATTCTAATGGATCTTTTGGTAAGGTTGTGGTATATCTAGATCACATGATTTATCATACCAGCAGATTTTCTTTTAGGTGTGCTTGCATCTTTGTCTTGGTCGTCTTGTTCGTTTGTCTAAAATAAACAAGCAAATGAAGGTAACAATAACACATGACCAGACTTGTAACACCATCATATTTAGGGATGCACAGGTGGATAGCGGTGACAGTGCTTTCCTCTCACCAATGCCACCTGGGTTCATGTCCTGCCGATCTCGGTGTGGTATGTGAGTAACATTACTCATTGGTTCTGTCCTGTACGTGCTTCAAGGGTTTTCCCAGTTCCTTCAGTTGTCTTCTCTCCATAAAAATCAAACCAGTGAAAGAAGAGAAAATCTATTTTTTAATTATTTTATTTATTTATTTACTCTTTTTCTTTCCTTCCCATGGCACCCAACCAAAGGGTTATGCATCATTGTTGTCCATACCCTATGAATAACTATTACCTCCATGATTAGTTTCTCGGGGTAAGCCAGGTCCCCAGGTGCAGGTGAGTACTTGAGGATATCTGATTCAATGTATGCCTACAAAAAAAGAAACCAAGATGAAGATGAACTACTCGATCTCTCCAAGGGATTTCTAGAGCTGCTGTTTTTGTGCATGGATAATACTTTGTTCTGTTCGCTCAGTATATAATCATTGTGGGTTTGACAAGTTTAAAATGGTTACACAAGCACCTCATAATGCCCATTACATTTGTAAACATGAGGATCATACCTGTGCTCTGTAAACCAGGCGTTCCTGTACATCCTGTAACATCTGATCAACTACTACTCCAAATGATGCAAGCTCCTCTCCTATGGTTACAATAAATAACACATACTGTAGCAACAGTTCTTGACTTCTAAGTTGAACTTTCAATGATAAATGCAGATGTAATAACTTTCAACAATACTATTCAGCCTAGATTTCAGCTTTGCCGTTTACAAATTAAAGGTGAGTACCATCATTTATTTTTAATTACTTCATGCACTTTAATTTGTCATTGTCTTATTTCACACACGTCATCCTATGGCTTATTACTAGTAACATTACACTGAAAATCGTATTACTGATGATAATCAAGGTCATTTGTTTATTAACTATGTTTTGTACAAACCTTTCTGTTGTACATGATCTTCAAGCATTTCCACCTTGATCATAAAAACAAACAAATAATCAGGTATTTTGAAAGACTAGATAAATTTGATGTTGCCATAGTTACCTTGAGTATTGAACACAATTCAGCCAATGTTTCCATGTGGTTCATGTGAATGATGATTGGTCGTAAACAGTCATATAGACTACTGCTAAGATTCTCTAGGAGGGTGCTGAAGTTTAATGACATTAGAATTTCTGTGTTAACATAGTGTTGCAAGCACTAGAGCAATTTTCGCATGACCGTGAAAAGCTCATGCCAGCCCAATCACATTGTAGGAGAATTTACTCTCCATCCAACCAAATACCCGGAATACGGCATAAACACGGCGCAGACACGGTCACACAAAGGTCACGGCACCGTCAGACCAATCGCATTGCGTGAGAAAAAATCAGCCAATTACAATTCTTAAAAGCATCACGGTTAGGCATGTCACGCTTACAGCACTGATCTTTTCACAGTCATGCGATAACTGCTCTATATCATCTGACAATAAGTATTATTCTATTTCTTCCTTTAATTAATTACTTACTCTAAACCACTACTTGTTTTGGAGAAGAAGTGGAAATACAGTTGATATTCATCTTGGCAAACATGGATTAACACAGAACATCCAGCACGAACCTGAGTAGAACAAATCATGTTAGCACTACTATACTGTAGTTATGTCAAAATAAATCAACTGGTCCGTCACTTGACATAATGACGGGCCAAATTATGTCTTATCTTGGCCATGGGAACCTTGAGACTGGCTCAACATTTATCATCAAAATGGCTGGCAATTGCAAAGATTTGACAGGACATGTTTCAATTATGGCTGAACATTGTACAATGACCACTTGTTATTTTAAGCCATGCTATTATGTTTTATCATATAGTTAGGATAGTATGCCCAAGCTGATTGGTCGAAAACTGTGCTTTATTAGTAAATGAAGAACAGTACTGACGCCATCCGCATGCAGAAAGTGCTGCACTCAAGAAGTGTGAGAAGCACTCACCTACTGCTTGAGCTTTTCCTTACACTTCTCCTTACACTTCTTTTGTGATTGCATCACTTCCTGTGTGCTTTATTACTGAACTGAGCATGGAAAAATGTATTTTATTTGTTAAATAAAACCTCATATTGGTATACTTACAAGAGAACATGGGTTTTTTGCATACTGTTTAGTTAGTTTGTCAACAGCATCTGTAACACATGGCGTCAGCAGCTGAGACCGTTGATCAAAGTAACAATTCTGACAATCACTTAGCAGAGATGCATATCTATTACAATACAAAATGTTTTCATGAGTAAAGAGTTTATCAATCAAGTCATAATAAATGTGTTATGAAAAATAATGAGCAATATATCAGTTTCGAACTCCAAGTTACCGCTGTGTTCCTTGATTACAGACTCATTTGCACAGGGTTAGCCTCATATCAGTGTTTAAATATTCACAAATACCAACAGTAAAGTAAAGAATGTACAATTTTAACAATACAAACACTTTGAAACTTGACGGACCTTGACTGGAACACGTGAATATTCTGCACAAACTCTAGGCTAACCCTGTGCAAATGAGTCTGTAATCAAGAAACACAGCAGTAATTTGGAATTCGAAACGGGTCTATTAAACTTACTCTGTAGACATGTATGCTCTTTGTTCAATTTGTTCCATCAACGACTAAAACACAAGAATAACAAAAAAACATGACTTCTATATTACATTACTCTATTTTACCAGATTCTGTATGCATGCAGCTTTCAAATGACATACACAACAAGAATACTAAAATAAAACATGCAGCTGATAGGCCAAAATTTATTATTTTTGGGTAGCCTTTGGCAGGCAGGTCTGGAGTAGGTAATCAGTGGTTTAGGCCTAAGATTGTATGTTTATTGACCCTGTACAGGATATATATATTACATATATCATGAATTTACCTTTACTCTTGGAGCACAAGCCCTGAATTTACCATAGAATAAAGCAAATGAATTCTCTGAGGTTGCAGTGTCCTGAAAAAAGAATTGTTATTATGCAAAATTGTACATTTATTTAAAAACTATTATGATTTAGGTATACATTGGTGAGAAAAAATATATAAATCTAATAATAAATGAAATTAGGGATAAGAAATTTTTTTACTTGATCCTACACAGAACGATCTAGTACAAGTCAAATATCCTCTTCATTTGTCATCTTTCATTAATGACTTTGCAGATTGCTATATAAAAGGATTCTGGGAAGTAAATGGAAGTTGATGGGGAAAATTTCTAAAGTTTCCAATTGCACTGACCTTGTTATTTAGAACTTGCATTGTTGCATTCTTAAGAAGGGAAATGACATGTGATTTGATAAGATGAAGTGACTGATTTAAACAGTTCTTGAACTTGGTTAGGTAGACAGATGATTCCTTGTACTGGGGCTGCAATAGAATGGTTTATGGACTTTTGATTACTGATAATAATAATGGACTATATTTAGGATGCTACTATTTTGCATGGTCATACAAGTCACTGTCAAGGTCTAGACTTATAATCTAAGACCCAGAGTATTGGATAAATGTGCAACCACCTTCGCAACAGGTCAGTGACTAATACTTGATGGAGTCAAATGAATTAAATCAAGCATGTTTGAATTAATTTCATGTAAATGTGATTTATAAATATTAAAATGCCTTACACTGCTTGAAATGTATGATATGCATTCATCCAGCTGAGCAAGGAGAGGAATAAATGATTCACTGTTTACAGACAGGGTGGGTGAGCTAAGTTTCTGTAAAAAAATATATATTAAAAAAATACTGTATCAGTTTTGAAGAATATTGGCATGTGACTGAGATTTTGAATACAGTTATAAGTAATTTGAAACATTTTTACAAATCCATAACTAATGAAAATACACTAACATGTTGAAGATGTTCAAGAGTATTGAAGTATGATAACTTGTTGTTTATGCTTTCAGCCATGTTGACTAATTTTGTCTGAAAGAAAAAGTAAAAGGTGGTTTAGAAGTACTAGTGGCATGATTACAAAGCATTCCTGTTATGTAGGTACCTGGTCTTGCAAGAGTTGCTCACACGCTCCATGCAACGCACCAGTTTTAGTAGAGACCAAAACATGCTGATGTTGCAGCTCTTGTAAATAATATATTGCTTCTTCTACTTCCTTAAGAATGCTATCACAGTGATCACGGTATGTCTTGAGCTGATCTGAGTATGAACTGAATAAATACAATTGAATGAATGAATGAATAGTTCCACACCCTTGACATTTTTATCACAGAAATGTTCTTCCATAGTCTCTATTTGTGATGGTAGCTTGTATGATCATGTATGATAATACAGCATTGATTGGCGGCTGGTACAACCCAATTGATATTAGGCTACATGCATATACAGGAACCCTACACATGTCACTTATATGATAAATAACTGGTACCTCTTAGGGGCAAAAGCCAGGTCCTACTTAAAGGTCATTTTCAATATCATTTGCCCATGAGCATCTCCACCCTTCTATATATGGGAGCTTATATCTCCCCTGAGCACTACAGCAGATGTCTGTAAAGGTATCTAGAGTAAGGCTCTGAAGATCTCTGGGTATTATCGCACAACATTCGCATCTTGGTGCACAGAAAAAGAGGTATTTTAAATGAGTTTACCACAGGTAGCCCAGCAAATAGTTGTTTGTACAATACTATTACATGATAACATCAAACCGCATTTATCCTCTTGTTGATTGATGTACTATAGTGGTTTTAGAATATTGAATATTATTGAGTACAATAAAGGTCATACCGATATGAAGACTCTTGTTCTTGCTCCATCTGACATTCAACTTTTGCAAACCATGAGAAGAACTACATATAAATTATTGGGACAAAATTAGTCATTACAACCTATATCAGCTCAACCGAGCTCATTATTCTCCATCTACCGTTACGTGGGATATAACAATAATAATGGATTCAGATAATGTTTACAACTGACCTGTTGCGCATTTTCTATTTTTTCTTGTCCCAAGTCAAGGCTAGCTATGTCCAACTGAGTTTGTTTGCCGCTATCGCTTAATGTTCTTTTGGTTGGGATATGAGTGTAGTCATCATCAGGCATCTACAGCAAACAAAAGGTACACGTACACAAATTATTCATATGCTGATCGATGTTGATGTTATATAGTAAAAGACGACCAGTCCTCTCTATTATAGCATAAATCAAAATCTATATGCATATGAATAGTTGCAAGAGCACGATCAGCCCTAAAGAAAAACAATGTCCCACATTTAAAAGGCTGACGATCCATTTATTTTGGCCATAAACTTCAGCTGATTATCAGCCTACCTCGCTAGGCAGAGGTCTGTTAGATGATATGGCTGTGAGTTCTACCACACTGTTTTTCTGTGTTCCACTCAAAGGCGAAAGACACCCATGTTTAGCATCCCAAAGACCAAGTTTGTCTCGTATTTCTTTTGTTAAGGTCGAGTGTAAAGCAGCCATGTTGGCCGCCATGTTGCCAATATACGACTGCCGAGCACTATGGGTAATGCTTCCCTTCCCCACGCTTCCCTCCACCCTAATGTTCATTGTTAGGCCTACCGGGCGATCCTAAAGTTATAAGACTCTGCGACATTACAAAATCTCTTGACAGAACACACACTCCATTATCTCAGGCTAGTTCCACGCGTCCTCAGTATCGGTGACGTGATGGTCTATACGGCGAAGCGTCTGCTAGGTGTTTTCGTTGCCAGCAGTTTGGGAGTCTGACCTTATACATGACCAAGCGGCACGCCTTTTTCTATGATATACCTGGCCTGGAATTTTGATTATGTGTGAGCGTTTCAAGTTCAGTTAATATCGCAGCTTCCTTCGTTATTTGGTTCTCAATTTCCTGTAATGCGCGTTCCTTATTGACTCTGGAAGGGGAGGGAGTGGGGTAGGGCTTTTAAGTGCCTCAATTCTGGTCTTTCGATCGGAGCCTGGGGTCGACGGGACGCTCGGTGGCTTCGTTCCCATTTTTGCTTTGTTGCGCTTTATCCTTTTCCCGGGATGAATCTCGGCATGATTTCCTATTCCGTCTCCTGCGCATCAAAAGACTTACTGGATCTAAATGGTGTAATGTGCTMGGGGAAACCCAGTCAAATTCCTTCATAAAGACTAACAACAGATTTCTATGAGATGCAGTTATTTTGAAATGCCTTTTCCTTATCAAGCCAGAGATAATAAGTTACAGCTTTAAGTTAAAGACGTTTATTTTCCACTCCTATAGCTCATTCCACTTCGTCAAAAACAAAACCTTCCCCTCATTTACATGACTACTGTATCAAACACTTTGGAAGGAGGCTCATAGAAAAATGTAAAAGAAGTCACATCTCTCTTCACCTCACATTCAAGATATTGAACTATGTAGTTTTAGACTACGAGCATCTAAAAATATATAATATAGTCGGTACCGTACTGTTTCACCACAGTTCTGGACCGGTCCTATTTATCGCCGTGGGGCAAGGGGGAGAGGGTAAATGACAACTGAAGACAACTGAAGTGAGGGCATCGTAGAAAAGAATTTCTAAGTTCTTCAGCTCTGGCTTTGTTCTTAAAATTTCTGCGTCTAAATATTTCAAGAAGCCAGAGGATAATTTCTTAATAGGAAAAACAATTCAAATAGCCTGAACAGGTTCACTAGGCAAGTTACATCTTATCTCTATTTCAAAAAAGCTGTCTTACTGAATACCAAATAATGAATAGTTCGTTTTGATTTAAGAGAAGACCAGGTGTAATTCTTTAGAACAGTTTTTCGTATGAGTGGAAAACAATACCACATATTTGTAGTCGTACTGTAGCCATGTTGTGATTGGATAAATTACTGAATGTTACAGCATGTCGTACCGTAGGCTTCTCACTCATATGAAAATCGCTCTATGCAGCATTGTGCAGCATTGAGTATTCACCAGACAGTTTTTTTTCGATATGGCTGTACAGGTTGAGTGGTGTGCGTGTCTCAATAAAAATGATTAGCCTTTCTGACAATATACAAAGTAAAACAACTGATACAAAATCCTTAGTCATAACGTATTACTATTAATAAATAAGAAAAAAAAGCTCTGGTATATGACGTCCTGTTATAGCGAACGTACATCTAAGACGCAAACCTGGAATAAAATGAACAAGAAAGATTAGAATGAAGCGGTATCCATTGTTCCCCATTCCAAATGGTTAGACCTTTTCCATGAGTAGGATGAGCATATTATTCAAAGGGCCACCATATTATCCCTTGCCACTCTCTGTAAAAAAGTATTTGTGGTTATGAAGACTCACCATACTACTAGAAAAACAGGCTGCTAACTTATCCCCTTTGGGGCTCCACTCTACTTCATATACACTGCCATTTCCTTGAAATGTATGTACAAGATTGCCAGACTGGAAAGAGAAAAGGTTAAAAAGACTCCTATCAATAGACCTCATCGGCTCTGATTTAATGTTTTCCCATATCAGACCAAGTGTCATTCCCTAGAGTATAATTTCTTTGTTTAAGGTTTGCGCTCGGTTGCCCATGAGAAGACACATGAATATGGATATAACTCAAACAAAGAATATTATTCTCAAGGGAATGACAAGAGCGCTCCATAGCCGAGGAGGTCTATGAATCATGGCATATGCAGCACAATGTTGCTAGCAGCAACTCATCATTTCCAACATGAGCAAGTTAGTATTGTGTTGTATCCTGTATTTTCTACTAACAGGCACTACATACAATGAAGATAGGACGATAGATACATGTCAATGACGATAGGACTTACCTGTATAGACCAAATATGTACATGTTTATCAAAAGAACCTGATGCAAGATATTTGCCATCAGGACTAAAGGATAACGAGGTAACTGGTTCAAAGTGTTTTGTAAACGTATGGATACAGGTGCCTTTTTCCATGTCCCATAATCGGACAGTAGTATCATACGATCCACTGCAAAAGATGAAGAGAGAAAAATCAAATCACAAATACATTTATGCATAGATCATGTCCTGTTGGGCCAGAATGTTGCAATGAAAACATCCATAGTTCATACTAGTCAACCTTACCCACCCCACCCATGCAGTTACTTTATATCATTTGATGCATGCTCAAATGCAAGATGAATGCATACCTAGCAAGTAATGTAGAAGGTGTTTGACTTGGTGAACCTGTTTTTCCAGGGCTCCATGATATAGTGTAGATCTCTTTTTTATGGCCTTGTAAATCTTGAATACAAAAGTCATGCTTCAGACTCCAGATCTGTAAAACAAAAGTGCATGACATTCAAAAATAGGGCAAAAAATGCACTTGGAAGCTGGCATTGATAATTCGAATGTGTAATATCATTTGCAACAAACCTTAATAGACATGTCATCTGAACAAGAAGCTAGGTATGTTCCTGTAGGATCCCATTTTATTGTATTTATTTCAGCCTAAACAAAACAGTAATATAGGCTTATCAACAGACAATAACAACAAAACCAGGAACAGATCCTGGAAGGGGTGGGGGTTCCATGTATTAAGGTAGATACTCAATGTCATATCTTGTTCTGTGGTTGCCACAGTCAAATAACACATGGCAAGATGGTTTCTGCATGCTCGTTAAGATATTCAGGAAGATACTATGTACTTATTGACTGAGTGAGAGGGCCGTATGGGAAAATATTTGGCTTGAGGTGGCCGAGAGCCAAATATTTTCCCGTACAGCCTGACCTAACTCAGTCAATAAGCATTTTATCATATGACTCTCGTGAAACGAAAAATAATAAAAGAAAAAAAGAAAATACAGTCGCAGGTTTCAAGCAGGGCCGTACAGATCCGTATGGCCCTGCTCGCTCAAAACCATATGGCCCTGCTCGCACCATTTTCCCAAAGGTTTTTTTCAAGAGAGCGTGCCCGGGCAGATACGGGTCATTCGATAAACATATTTACTCTTGTAATTGGATAATCCTTTTTGATATTTACAGTCTTTGATACTCACTGTATGTCCTCTAAATGTCTTGAAAGGTTTATCTAGACCTATTTTACAAATATGGACGTTTTTATCTGTTGAGCAGGATGCAAAGCAGGTGCTGTTTTGCCAATCAACATCTAAAGTTGGATCTGAAAGAAAATGTTTTACAAATTGATGTTCAGTCTTCATCACATTGGTGCGTGTTAAATATGCATGCCAGGATGTTTCACTGGGTTTTCTGGTTTCATGTCAATCAAGAGCCCAAGCAACCAGCTTTGGAGTACTATTCTTAGACTACTAAATACCAACAATGCTAGAGACCTACCAAGATGAAACACAAACTGTTGTTTGATTTCCCAAGTGTTTGCCTCCCATACTATACAGGCCTGAAAAAAAAAAAAAAAAAAAAAAAAAAAAAAAAAAAAAACCTAAAAAAAAAAAAAAAAAAAAAAATTAATAACAAATAAAATTCATTTAATAATTTGTTTAATGTGTAATGTGAAAGCTCATGCCAGGGAATGCACACATACCTTATCAACTCCTGCACTAACAAGATAGTTCCCTTTCTTGTTCCATTTGATAGCAAACAAAGGCGCCTTGTGTTCTTTTAGTGTGGCTATTAATTGACCTGTCAAAACCCAGAGAATGAAAGAGAGAGGGGTATTGCTGGTGTGAGCTTTATTCCAAACAGAGTTTTATACTATCAATTTAGAAATCCATGACATGTTTATTAGAGTGTATACCATATACAGTATCTGTGATAAATTTAACTCACAAAATTGTACAAATTAATACAAAGTTTCGTAGGTCTACAGTCTACTTAGGTTTACAGAACAAGAATCATTTTCACCAAGCATGAGTGGTAACGAATGTCCCAGATCGCTTATCATAATATAATGCTGAAATGATGTGTGTGTTCTCTGGCGTTGACCAGCAAACATGGCATGGCATAATCCCTTGTTATACAGTACCTTCAGGATTCCATATTCTTGCACAACCATCATAAGACCCAGAAGCCAGGTAGGTCCCATCACACTTTAATCAAATTAATACGATAAATGAATGATATTATTACAATACTAATACTTCATACTAATTTGTAAAAAAGATGGGACAATATTTGGCAAAAGTCAATAGAACCATTAACATAACAAAATAAAAACAAGGGCATGTAAGAGCACTCCATAATCTATTATCATTAATAAAGATATTCTAGGCAGCCCAGACATTATTTTTTCATTATTTTATCAAGTAACCTACATTCCATTCCAGTGAAGTGACATCAAGGTTAGTAACAGCTGATGTGTGGTTCTCCTGTAGGTCTTTTGCCTTGTGTTCTAATATTATAGGAACTACTGGTAAACCACTGTCATTAATGGACCATAGTCTGGCTGTCCCATCACCAGACCTACAGTATACAAATAAACATCTAAATATTATGTTCATATAACTATTAATCTATCATTTAATCGAGAGAGAGTTAGCGAGCAAGAGAGAGAGAACAGTCCAAGGCAAATACAGCATATATTAGTATAGGGATTTAAAAAAATGACTCCGACAATGTCTGGGTGACCGAATTAGAGTTTGACCAGTAATATTGAGCAAAAAAAATGAGGTATGATCAAGCTAAAACTAATTTGACTGATCATCCACGTCCACATAGCATTTGAGCAGCTAATGATGCATATGTCAAGAGGTTCTTACCCTGTGGCTAAAAGGTCTTGGGTTGGGTTCCATGAACACACAAACACCTAATAAAACAGTAAACGAGAAATTAAGACCACGTAATTGGATATTTAGTTGTTGTACATTAATGGACTTCTTTAACAATGCCATGGCAATATGGGTCACCCAGAGGGCATAACAAAACAAAGATGCTGAAATGAAGAACCCTACAATATCATTGAGAAATGTCCTCAGTTCATCTCTTGTCAAATAATCTCATTATGATACATCACATCATCAAGGCAGTCCATTCTTACAGTATGGAAGTATAAAATATAACAAAAATATTGATTTTTGTCACATCTTGGTGGCCATGTTGGTTTACATTTTAGAATATTTATGAGTACTTTTGTACACCAACATGGCTGCCATGTCTTTGATCATAATTGCCAGGGGAATGATTGGAAATCAAGAAAATACCAATAGCAGGTATATTACACTCATCATTTTGAATACATCATCCTTCCCATTATATCAAATTTATGCAGATGCCATAAAATACCTGACAATAACTCCATATTGGTTATATTTATACAGAGTACATAACTTAGAAAATGTGGATACAAAAAGCATAAATCTATAAGAAAATATTTTTGAATAGATAATAATATCTCAATCACAAGTTGCTTAATTGCTTTAGACAAACCTCAGATCCATGGCCTTTTAAGATGAGAGCTTTTTGACTGCCATTATCCATCATTACTGGATCACAGTCAGTTACATCTTGAGGTACTGAGTTAACATGCATATATCCATCACCTGATGCATTCAATAGATCATTCACAGCTGGTACTTCTGGCTTGATGATTCTATTGCTTATCAAAGAATGTCTAGAACTAACAACATCTGGTAGAACAGCATCAATCAGTGATAACTGATCTAGTTCACTGTCATCTAGCAAGTTACCTTCCTGTAAAATAAAACAACAAATATTTTAAATAAAAAAAGTTTTATCTCTCATTGTTAGGTCTGTCACAGAGGCTTTGAACCATCATGTGATATCATTCATGACAGGAGGCATGGATATAAAGTATGTCCTCTAGCTGGGAAACTGAATTCTTTTTTATGAAAATCATACTAGACCAAAAATAATAAAACCCTTGTGGAATAAGAGAGAACAACACTTCAAACAAACTCCAAACTCTACTTACAGGTTGAGCACACTGGCTTGAACCACAAGCCCCAATCATGAACTCAAGATTGGTAAGAGGATGATGCATTAGTAACTTAGACCACCCATGACACCCACAAAAACACCAGATTTACATTTTTAGGGTGGCCTGCGCCCAGCATTGTGCAAAGCCTCTATACAAAAGTTTGGCCTCTGAACTTTTTTTATAACTAAAAAAAAAAAAACTCAGCCAAAAAGCCTTAATGTTTTGCCATACATACCTCTGTTACAGTTGCTTCAGATTCAACATACTGGACACCTTTCTGTAAAACAGATACTAATGCCCCAGGTGGGACCACTGATCCATTGATATTAGACTGATCAATATGACTTTCTATGCCAAACGTAAAAGCAGAATGTTGAAAACCTAGAAAGTGAAAAAAATAATTAATCTTGAATAGGCAATGAAGGGTTCTTTCCAGTCTTAGGGGGGAGGGGGGGTAGATTGCACCCCCTGGCCCTGTTGTAGGAAGGGTGGATAGAGCACTACCTGATGACAGATAAATACTGTCAGTGGATAAATCTATTGGTTAACAACATTGACTTATTCACTGGATACAAACAGGCCCTGGGTCCTGACCCAGTTAGGTCAAATACAATATGTTTATGTTACAATACTGGAATCAACAAACAACAATGAACATACATGTACATGTAAGAGTTGCATCGTGAGAACTAGGAAATAGTCAAGCTAATTTTGTGGGGATATATCTTCAGTGTGACAAAAAACATATATTATAACAATAAATCGGGTTTATAAAGAGCAACTTAATCGCGTCGATTACTTGTAATGCAATTCCCATGGAGAATCGCCATAGAAAATGGAAGGACGCTTTTCGGTGCCCTTGGTATTTACAAAATAATATAACTGCATAATAAAAACACTAGATGTTAAATAAAGGACTCACCTGATTCTTGTAGATATCTATACACCAGAAAGTTCACTTCATCGCTACTCATAGACATGGTAATTATATCATAATATAATAATATCTATTGCGGACAAACTGATCATTAATGACGGGCGTCCAGGGCACGAGGATTCAAAGAGCCTTGTTCTAATCAAACGACCTCGATTGATATCATTAAAATGCAAGTTTATGACCTCTTAACAACCTCTCGAGCACATTAGGTTGCTTTCTATCCGTCCATAATAAATCAGTCCATTAATAATGGTTATTTTTGCATGAATACTGTAAATGGCTGACTCTTTTTTGCTCCTCTTTTTTCTTCATTGAGTCAGTCCGCCATGTTTATTGAGTGTCACGTGATCACGACGTCACTTGATGTCCTTCGGTCCCTTTATAATGGTCTTCTAAAAGCACATTTTACCCGAGTTTCTAATTTGCTCACAGAAATTAAAAACTTGCCAATGTAAATTGCGAAAATGTTTTATGTCGTGCGTTAGGAGATGATTAAAAAATAACAAGATTAAGTGCACTTTCTTCAAGTACTCAATCACTTGAATTTGGGGTCCTTATTTGATAGTCAATAAGCGCATTACGAAAATGAGGGACCTTACCGAGGGAACCTGGGACTGAGACTGCAATGAATCTTTCTCTTCGCCAAAAAACCGTGGCCATATTGGTAAGAAGAAGCATTAAGTCTGAACTTTATCTTTAGGAATCCTACACTTTAAGAATGCATCGTCATTTTTTCTCACCGCAGTATTCAAGTGAAATTACTACCAAATACATCTGAAGCTTTCTTTTCGCTTCCTCAATAGCAGTATTAGTGTTATTTCATAGTTTCTTACCTTACGAACTTCAGAGTATGCGATCTCTTCCTTCTAATATTAGTAGTACCATTTTTGTAGTTTTCTTCTGACGTAACTAAGCATAAAACTACTTTGGTACTTACTCTAGTTAAGTTATTCTATAAATTCAATATATCATTTGAAATAAAGGTTATTATTATATGTCCAAGTACTTTAAAAACACAGGACATATTGACCATATTCATATGCTAAAGTTTTACACAAGTCTTACACACTTGGATTTATTGCTGTGGAAAAAAAGATAAGAAATACTGGTGATACGGAAATTATTTATTCATCTTTCATTTATAAATCTTTATTTTGTTTTGCAAAAAAATATTAATAAAATGTTAAATGGTTTGTATTTGTTGCAGTGAATATGGGACGTGTTATTCGTGGCCAGCGTAAGGGTGCTGGAAGTATTTTCAGATCACATACCAAGCACAGAAAAGGAGCTGCTAACTTAAGAGTTCAAGATTATGCTGAACGACATGGTTATATTAAGGGTGTAGTAAAGGATATCATCCATGATCCTGGTCGTGGTGCACCATTAGCTGTCGTAGTCTTCCGTGACCCATACAGATACAAGCTACGCAAGGAACTCTTTATTGCCACTGAGGGAATGTACACTGGTCAGTTCATCTATTGTGGCAAGAAAGGTAACGGTTGACATCATTATGTAATCTTCATAAAGCCTTGGTCAAACTAGGGTAATAACTGCAGTGGCAACTGTATGCAGAATGAAGGGGGTGCTACAGATTACCATGTTCCCATATTTTTTAAGGATATTCATGGGCAAATGATCCTATTGTCAGATTTTCAAATAAGCAAATAAAAAATTGGGGTCCCTGAATTCATTCGGCCATCAGGATGCTTGGAAGTTCGCCCTTTTTAATTTTAAAACGTGCAAAGGACGTAAACATGGAAAACTGTCAAATATGAGCCATGTTTTACTGAATAAAATAAAATGATCATCCCCCTTTTTCACAGAACTCTCAGAAATAACCAATTAAGTAATTGTCATTTAAAATTTTTGTTTAAAATGAAAACTATAAAATGTTATTGGGCCTCAAGGTGTTTATTGTTTACATGTCCCTCATATGAAGTTTCGTAAGGGAGTATTGTATTAATGCAACTACATGGCATGGAGTTGATGGAGGATTTTGGTGCCATTCATAATGGTGTCATTTCTTTATTTTTTAGCTAAAATTTATTTTGAGGGATTTTATAAAACTTAATCAAATTTATATTGGTATTCTCTCAATGTACTGAATAAGCAATCTTTATTTCTTTTAAGCTACACTTCAGATCGGCAATTGCCTTCCTGTTGGTGCCATGCCAGAAGGAACAATAATAAGCTGTGTTGAAGAAAAGACTGGAGATAGAGGCAGGATTGCACGCACATCAGGCAACTATGCTACGGTCATCTCTCATAATGTAGAAACCAGGCGTACAAGGTTGAAGCTTCCTTCTGGAATTAAGAAGGTTGTACCATCTGTAAATCGTGCTTTGGTTGGTATTGTTGCTGGAGGTGGTCGTATTGAGAAGCCTATGCTCAAAGCAGGACGTGCTTACCACAAATACAAGGTTAAAAGAAACTGCTGGCCTCGTGTTCGTGGTGTTGCTATGAATGTAAGTAGACAGTACAAATGCAAAGCTTTGAACTACTTTAGTATTTGTTAAACCTAAATAGGCCATTTGCAAAAATCATTTTACTATCATATTCATATATGTAAATAATGTCAGTATAAAAGAAATTTTGCTGAAAAAATGTCCAGAGAAAGCTTAGAAAAATTACATTTTGTTGCCACCTTTCCTGAACAAAGTCAGGAAAATTTAATATTCATGTATCATTAGAATACAGCTGTCCTTTGTTAGTGTGGGTAACGACAAAGGAGTCAGATGTCTAACATCCAAAAGATCATTTTACTACACTTCATTAAAATTATGGTTTAAGACATTGGTGAATAACTTGTTTGTTGTTGTCTACAGCCTGTGGAACATCCTCACGGTGGTGGTAACCATCAACATATTGGTATGCCTTCTACAGTCAGAAGAGATACATCAGCTGGGCGTAAAGTTGGTCTTATTGCTGCTAGACGTACTGGTATCATTAGGGGAGGAAAGAAGATTCTGAAAGAAGACAAAGAATAAACCAAAGCATCTCCTTAAAATGTCCAAATAAAACACCCATTGTAAATTGCTTTTTGAGTGTTGTTAAATTTTACTGTAAATCTTTCTTTAGTTTGGCATAGGAAACCCAAGCAAGGTACTATTGTAACTTATCATAAATACAAAGCAATGTATGTAGATTTGTACCTTGGTTGGATGACCTTTGACTGTAAGCTTCCTTTTATTTGAGATTATTGTATTTGGTAGAATGCAAGTGCTCCAGGACAGACAATGTTACCTCAAAGAAACTTGCATCTATCACATACACATAAATACTTAGGGGTCGGGACAAAGGACTTTGAATAATGGATTACTTTGATGATTAGCACTCGTTCACATAGATGAAAAGGAGTTTTGCATGTGATATCATGCTACTAGTATCTCCAGCTCTTTATTGTCGTATAATCCAATAGCTGCTCCTTTCTGCCAATAAGAATAAGTGCTAACCACAAGGCATTACAAATATGGGCTGTTGAGGGGGCAAATATATAAAAATGGTTACAGAAATGTTAACAGTTCACTACAAAACAATTTGGATGGAGGAATTTAAAATATTGACCGTCCCATAATTGAGCAAATTTCTCAACATCTTTGGGTTGTCATTTCCACATCTTTGCATTGTTTTGCCCTCTGGAAGACAAACAATGCCTTGCATGTCAGTAGTTTGAAATGGCTGATCGTCGCTATCAAACCTAGTCTCACACAGACAAAGCGTTGCGTGACGACACTGAAAGCGGCTGTGATTGGAAGGAGACTATATCACGGTCTTGTGGCTGTTGAGGGGGCTTTTTTGGGTACCCTGTGGAATCACGTGACCAGCCCCAAGCCCCTCCTTGCTTGTTGTGAGTAGTTATGGTCGACATGATGGGAACACAACTGTTTATTCCTTGAATATTATTGTCGTTACAATATTGGAAAAACGACGCCAGAAGATCTCTGCAATTTTAAACTGTTTTTGTGACTCAAGGTTCTAAAGTATGAGAACAATTTGTTGTCCGGATTACGGCGTTGGTGGAGCTTAACTCGTCACAGGAAGTGAACGAAAAATTATTTGCCTCTGAAAGTTTGTTGCCTTGGATGTGTGAAGTTTTACAGCGGCACTAGACATTTGGATCATTGTTGATCAAGATGGCTTATGGCTTAGACGATATCGACTTGACAACGTTAAAGGTTTGTGGTAGAAAACAACAAGCTCACTTTTGTGTTTCAGCGCGCATCACAGTACAACATCTCTTGTCTAAATCATGAAAGTACTAGCAGGACACTCTGGCTTATTGACAGTTCTCATGAAAACTGCTAGCCATTCTACGAGTTATTCCTAAAAACCATCTACCGATTTTAGTAGTGTGTTTAGGAAATAGATCCCGCTGTTTTCAAATGAAACATTCTTATCTCAGAATTTCGATTTCAGTTTGAGTTTTTTCGATATTGGACTGGCATCTTGTCTACCGCCAGACATGTTTCACCAGACATGCATAAAAACCATAACACATTAAAGTATTAGAAACGCTTTTCTCTCGYCTTGTTGAGGAACGTAAATATGAATTATATGAACCATAAAGGTTACTAATTGTTTTTATTTTGAAGGAACCTGCAGGAATATTTGACCTAGTCGAAGTTGTAGGCAATGGAACGTATGGTCAGGTCCACAAGGTAAGCTGTAGTTGTACATTCGACTGTCTGATCCAAGCGGATGGCATTTWAAAAAAGTCTTTGAATCTACAACATAGACTTGAATCAAAGCAGGGAAATACGCAACTCTTTAGATAAAGTTGTGGTCATCTTCGCTAAATTTAAATACAAATGATAACATGAAATTATTTACTATCAGTCTGTTCGTGGTTTCATGGACTTTGAAATATATTCTCTTCGATCGCAAGTAAATTGTCTTTTTCTACACTTGATTTCCTCTAAACCATAAGCCATCATCTGGTCTTAAACTGCRTATAGGCTTTAATGTACATTGTTTATGATGTTCAAAGAATAGAATAAGGTATACAAGTCAACTACAAAATAAGGAAAGTAGATCTTACACTATGAAGCCTAGCTAGCTGACATCGTTCACACGCCGTTGGAAAATTTTCAAAAAAAGATTTGGTTTCATTATCAATGCAAGTATATTTATACCACTGATACTAACCCCTGAAAGAAATRATAGTGTTATTTAACATGAAAATAACAGATCTAAATGTATTGTTTTCTAGATTGTTGAACGTTCTGGAATGTATATTATTTGATTATTCGTTAGCGTCCATTCTTTTGTTTGTTCACACGGGACTGACAAGCACGATAATATTTATTTTAGTGTAATCTCTTCTTATTGAGTATTTTATTGGTTCTTCGAAAGAACCCAGAGAAGAAATTTGCTGAAAAAAGAAATAATATTTTAGTTTTCTAATATATAAATTTGAACTTTACTCACAAATTTGCCTCCAATTGGTTTAAATCCAGGATTTTATAAGGGTGGGTGGGTGGGTGGTCCAAAATTGCCACTACACGCAGAAATTGAACCCATATTCATTCCCAGTGCCTTTTTGAGTGATTTGTTTTGTGAAAAATGAGGGGGTACTAGATTAGAGTACWTGTATGTGACTAAAACCAGTTATGAGAACCATAATCATAGCATTGGGCATTGGGAATGAATATGGGTTCAATTTCTGCGTGCAGTGGCAATTTTGGATCACCCACAAAAATCAACTCCTAAATTCCAATTCCATCATGGAATGAGAGCCACAGGTTTGTTAGCCATTGGCTATTAAGTGCTACCCTCATGAAAAAAGGACAGTTTTTTTTTTTTTTATAGCCCTAAAGTGATTGTTTCCATCAAWTTCATTCTGAATGTAAGGAACATTATCAGAGTCAAGATAGGGAGGGGGGTGGGGGGATTCCATGGTCAACCAATAGAACCACAGCTTGGTTTGCCCACCTGGGTACTCATTCCCATTCCATTCTCATTAGCTCAAGGATAAGTTGACACAATAAATGTATTATCTGCAGGGTTTTATGAGAACATGATACATGTCATTAAGTTCTCTGTAGTGAATTGCAMAAATGTCCTACTATGTAAACCGCTGCAGATAACAAGCATTGGTCTTGTCAAATTATGTTAAATGTTATCCTATTATYAGGCCAATCATCTAACAGGTGTAATGATCAATTTCAGGGCCGCCACAAGAGAACAGGACAACTTGCAGCTATTAAGATTATGGATGTTACAGAGGTACTAGAACATCAYAATAATTATTCTTTGGGGGAAATTGTATTATTTAATAACCCCTTAACTCTTCTGCACTAGAAATTCATCAGAGTCAGCATGGTTTGGTGGTAAAATGCACACCTCATCTGGGTTTCAAATTTTATCTGCCCCATCTGAGCTGGGGGTTTTCTGGCCCTCRGGTTTTTCCTTTCCTCTCTCAAAATCAAACCTAACTAAAGGTTAAAGCTTAAACTGGGGGGTCATACATGGACTGTATAGTGGCTGCCAGATACACATTCACATGCTTTCAGTTTGACCCTGTTGAGCTGCGTGCACTACTCCTTTACTTTGCAGTGGTGACAATGACAAGTTTTTTTGTAAATGTTGTCGGGCATCAACATAAAAGAATGACAGCTAGATAGCATGATTCCAAATTTSAAATATAATTTTGCTAGAACTCACAAAACAACAAGATCCAGAAAAAAACACTGTTTGAAAAACCTCAATACTACCCAGGAGTCAAATGTTTTTAAATTTACATGTATTTCAATCTTTTTTCTAATCAATATGATCATGAAAATGCTTATACTTTTTACAGGATGAGGAAGAAGAAATAAAGCTGGAGATAAATGTCCTTAAAAAGGTTATTAAGATAATATTTTGTTTGATATTTTTTGTTATTATTAAGTGTGCTTTGATTGGCGAAAATGTTTGAAAAACCATGTCGACCTATATCAGAAAACAAGGTTTATTAAAATAAATGAAAAATATAAAAATGTCTACTTTTGTTTACATRATAGAGCAGAGAGTCAAAGAAACACTGATGGCTCATGTTTCTAGAATACAACCGATTCTCTCTTGTTCTACTGTTCCTATCATGTTCATATCACATCAATAAACAGACACGCCATATTCTATATTCCTATTACATTAAATAACCCCAACTGCAGTATGCTAAGCTCCCAGACTCATGGAAACGGATGTCTGTTTGTTAACACCAGGAATCTGTAATATAATGTTTTGCTGCTTTGTTTAGTTTGAGTAATAATAATATTTTGGATATTTTTAGTTTTCTAATCATAGAAATATTGCAACCTACTATGGTGCATTTATTAAAAAAGCTTTACAAGGACAAGAAGACCAGCTATGGGTGAGAAATTAATATTTTTATGCAAGGACTATTTCTATTCCATTCCATTCCATTCTATCTTATTTTATCTCATTCTGTTCTATATTTATTTTCTTTATATGATATATCTAAAGGGAATTCAAATTTTTTTATTTTCACTTACCATTATTGGCCATAGCATGCTGTTGTCAGTTCAAAAAATAATTAAGTTATAAATTAATTTACAGATAAAAATCCAAAACAACAATTATGCTATCCTCCAGAATAATAATTTTCTGTTTTCTTCCTGTATGCATTCTTGATGTGATGTATATCAAATGGTTAAGTGTGTTGCATCAATAAGGAATTTTCTTATTCTTTTAGCTTGTTATGGAATTCTGTGGTGCTGGGTCTGTAACAGATCTTGTTAAAAGTAAGTTACATTCTTTACACATATTTCCCTTAAATTAATACACATCTTATGATAATGGTGCTGTTCTAGCTAATATGGTACTCATATGTGACAAGGATTCCACTTAGCAGCATAATTATATCAATTAAGAAGTATTAATAAGGAGAACAAATAAGTGTTTTGATATTTAAAGAGAAGATTTGTTCAATGTTGGTGTTTGCAAAACGCAGTCTGAACTGTTTTGATTCATTCTTTGAAATTGTATACAAACTGAATGTAAAGAAAATATTTTTCAGTGGTAATTCACTGTTACATTTATTTAATTAGCTGCAAGAAACAAGACGTTAAAAGAGGAATGGATATCTTACATCTGTAGGGAAGTCTTGAATGTAAGTTGATTGTTGTTCCCCATAATATTACAATCTCAAGAATGTTTTTTTTCAATTTTAAATGATTGATTCTTTAATGAATTGCTTTTCTTCTGCTATAATCTAGTTTGCTTGCATTTCAGGGAGTTAGTCATCTTCATTTGAATCATGTGATTCACAGAGACATAAAAGGACAAAATGTTCTGCTAACGGACAGCGCTGAAGTTAAATTAGGTATTTTATTGATAAAAATATCACACCTGYTGTGTATAGTTATAAAGCATGCAGGGGCCGGCAGAACACAAGAGAAGTATTCTGCAAAGCATGCTGCATAATTAGGTGCTCCTCAAACTACTTAAAAGTCCTGCCATTCCACAATTGCTTTACACTTTAACTACACAYAGCATAGTAAGCCAAAAATATATTTCTCTATAAAACAGAAATTAGAATAACCATTATTATAAAATAACTGTTATGAATGTCGCGTTCTGATTGGTTTGGAGCGCGTGCTTTATGAGATCACATTGCACGCGTGCGCACTTTCCGTTGCATCATTTCTATCTATTATTGTAATTTGTATTTTATAAAAGAAATAAAAACTTGCTTGCTGTGCGGTGTGCAGTCATAAAGCACTTGGGGATTGGCAGAACACTCGAGAAGTGTCCAGAAGCACTCCGCTACGCGTCATGCTTCTCCTAACACTTCTCTTGTGTTCTGCCAACCCCCGTGTGCTTTATGACAGCACATGCGCGYGTTTTCTATTTCTTCATTATGAATAGAAATGTTGTAGCTTGAGGGTGCTATGTGCTCTCATAAAGCATGCACTTGCAACCTAACAGAATGTAGGAACAGTTGTTATACAAAAACTGATGTAAACAACCTGGGTACTTTACTAGTTGTCTTTGAACCAGACACTTCCTTGATTATATTGTTTCACTGTTACCACCTATGAACAGTATTCTTTCTTGTCTCACCCAGAGTCCAGAACTGATGCTTGAAATGCCCAGCCAACGAATGAAAACTAACCATGCAAAGTCTTTTAATTTGAATCAATTCATTTATTTTCAATGCTTTTTGTTTTGTAGTGGATTTTGGTGTCAGTGCTCAGCTAGATAGGACTATTGGTAGAAGAAATACATTTATTGGTACTCCATATTGGTAATGTTGRCAG